GGATCAATGCTGGTGTCATATTATTTACAATATAACTTAATGACTTGGCTGAAGGAAGTGCATGTACTATAGACAAGTTTGCAGATGATGCAAAATTAGTTGAGTAGGCAAGTGCTGAGGATGATACAAAGAGTCTGCAGAGCAAGATAAACAGGTTAAGTGAGTGGGAAAAACTTGGCAGGTGGAAAATATGTGAAAAGTTGTGAAATTATGCAATTTGCCATGAAGAATAGAGGAGCTGAATATTACTTAAATTGAGAAAGACAGCAAAAAGCTATAGCACTAAAGAATTTGGGAGTCCTCGTGCATAAATCACAAACAGCTAGCATATAAATGCACAAATAAAAGAGAAGGCAAATGGAATGTTGGCATTTATTTCAAAAGGAATGGAGAACAAAATAGGGAGATCCTGCTAAAACTGTACAAGGCACTAGTTAGACCATGAGTTTTAGTCATTGTGAACAGTTTTGGTTCCCTTATCTATTAGAGATATACTGGCATTGGAGGCAGTCCAGAGAAGGTTCATTAGATGGATTCTGGGTATGGACGAATTGCCTTAGGTCAGGCCTAGACTCATTGTAGTTTAGAAAAACGAGAGGCAGTTTTGTTGAAACATTCAAGATTCTTAGGTGACTTAATAGGATGGATGTGTAGAAGTTGTTTCCCCTTGTTAGAGAATCTAAGACCAGACATCATAATCTCACAGTAAGGAGACACCCCTTTAAGACAGAGATGAGGAAGAACTTCTTCTCTCAGACTGTGGTGTATCTGTCAAATTCTTTACTGCAGATCATTGTCAAGATTGGGGTGTTAAGTATATTTAAGGCTGAGATAGACTTTTAATCAACAAGGAAATCAAGGGTCATGGACAAGGGCAGGAAAGTGGAGTTGAGGATCATCAGATCAGTAATGATCTCATTGAATGGTGGAGCAGATTTTATGAGCAAAGTCACCCACTTCCACATCTTATGGTCTTAATGGCTAAAGCTTAGTATGCTGGTATAGCAAGTAATCAGGAAAGTTAATAAAATGTTATTTTTCATTGCAAGTGGAACTAAATACAGCTATAGGGGTTATGCTTTAGTTATACAGGGCATTGTTGAAACCGTATCTGGAATACTGTGTACAATATTGGTCTCTGTTAAGGAAAAATGTAAATATATTATGAGCAGTTCAAAGCAGGTTTACTAAACTAATACCAAGCATGGATGTGATCCAGACAAGATCCTGAGGGGTTTGGCAGGGCGTATGTAGAAAGTTTTTGACTTGTGGGGGAGTTGAAAAACTGGAGGTCACTGTTTAAAAATCAGAAGTCACCCATTTAAGGCAGCGATAAAGAGATTTTTTTCTGACAGAGTACCATGAGCCTTTGAAACTTTCTTCCTGCAAAGGAAGTGAAGCAGAGTTTTTGAATATTTTCAATGCAGACTTAAATAGATTCTTGATAAGCAAGGGGAAGAAAGGTTATTATAGGTAGGTGGGAATTTAGAATGATCAGGTCAGCTATGATCTTATTGAATGGTGGTGCAGCCTGAGTGGCTTATTCCTCATTCATATTTTCATATGCTGAGCTTCTCCTTGCCAAGTTTCTTTTCTAACAATATTAATGAGTCTTCCTGGCCACCCACTTTAATCATTACGGCCTAGATGCCCCAGAGGCAAAGCTGATGCAGAAGCTTTCAGTGAATGAGTAGCCTTGGTGGCAAGGTAAAGAGATTCCTGTCGTTAGTTCCAGACGTCTTTCAAGGTTGAATTTATTGAATATCTTCTTATCCTTATCTGTTATTGCACGACACAAAAGAAAATTGAATTAATTACCCTGGCATGAGTTCCTTTTTGTAAATCCTTGCTGACTTTCACATTATTTTATACTGAAATACTGTGTTAACTTTGCCCTTGATAACTAATTCCACCATTTTACTGGTAATGATATCAGATTAATTGGGCTTCAGTTTTACCGGATACTTACCAGATCCATTTTGAAGTGAATGCTATTATCCAGGACTCTAGCAGCACCTTTTTATAGTGAATCCCTAATTATCTCTGTTCATGCTCTTACCAGTATATCCTTATTTGTTTTATTCTTTTAACAAGATTTTGAAAACTTTTCTGAGTTTTCCCTCACTTATCCTTTCTATACTTTTATACCAAACAACTTGTAATATTGGAATGCCTTGCTGTATCTGAATTATAATCATTAAGACAGCTTTTTTCATATCGCTGAACTTCCATGTTGCAAGTAATCAATAAACAGTATCCAAAGAACTATCACATACATAAGAACACAAGAACATAAGAACTAGGAGCAGGAGTAGGCCATCTGGCCCCTCGAGCCTGACCCACCATTCAATAAGATCATGAGACTCAGCTCCACTTACCCGCCCACTCACCATAACCCTTAATTCCTTTACTGTTCAAAAATTTATCTAGCCTTGCCTTAAAAACATTCCACAAGGTAGCTTCAACCACTTCACTGGGCAGGGAATTCCACAGATTCACAACCCTTTGGGTGAAGAAGTTCCTCCTGACCTCAGTCCTATATCTGCTTCCCTTTATTTTGAGGCTATGCCCCCTAGTCCTAGTTTCACCTGCTAGCGGAAACAACCTCCCTGCCTCCACCTTATCTATTCCCTTCATAATCTTATATGTTTCTATAAGATCTCCCTTCATTCTTCTGCATTCCAATGAGTATAATCCCAGCGTACTCAGTCTCTCCTCATAATCTAACCCTCTCAACTCTGGAATCAACCGAGTGAATCTCCTCTGCACACCCTCCAGTGCTATTATATCCCTTCTCAAGTAAGGAGACCAAAACTGCACACAATACTCCAGGTGTGGCCTCACCAGGACCCTATACAGCTGCAGCATAGCCTCCCTGTTTTTAAACTCCATCCCTCGAGCAATGGCAGACAAAATTCCATTTGCCTTTTTAATTACCTGCTGCACCTGCAATCCCACCTTCAGCGATTCATGCACAAGGACACCCAAGTCCCTCTGCACAGCAGCGTGCTGCAATTTTTTACCATTTAAAACATAGTCCATTTTGCTGTTATTCCTACCAAAATGGATGACCTCACACTTACCAACATTGTACTCCATCTGCCAGACCTTTTCCCACTCACTTAGACTATCTAAATCCCTCTGCAGACTTTCAGTGTCTTCTGCACACTTTGCTCTACCACTCATCTTAGTGTCATCTGCAAATTTTGACACACCACACTTAGTCCCCAACTCCAAATCATCTATGTAAATTGTGAACAATTGCGGTCCCAACACTGATCCCTGAGTCACACCACTAGCCACTGACCGCCAACCAGAAAAACACCCATTTACCCCTACTTTTTGCTTTCTACTAGTCAACCAATCCTCTATCCATGCCAATACATTAGCTGTAATACCGTGCAACTTTATCTTATGTAGCAGCCTTTGGTGTGGCACCTTGTCAAATGCCCTCTGGAAATCCAGATACACCACATCCACAGGTTCTGCATTGTCCACCATGCATGTAATGTCCTCAAAGAATTCCACCAAATTAGTTAAACAATGAGCAAAAGCAAAATTTTTTTAACACTGCATGTCATGTCTTTCCATTTTACAGCTGTTCTGCTTCTATTAATTTCAGAAGTCAGACGACACCAGGTTATAGTCCAACAGATTTATTTGAAATCAAGGAGGGGCAATGCTTTGAAAGCTTATGATTTCAAATAAATCTGTTGGACTATAACCTGGTGTTTTCTGACTCCTGACCTTGTCCAGCCCAGTCCAACACTGGCACCTCCACATCATATCTATTAAGTTCAGTAGAATTTCCTTTCTTATCCCTTCCCTTATTTGCTGATGACAGTTATTTAGTACGTTTGGAAATCTGTGACTCTTGTTACTCTTAACCATGGTAATTCATTGGTGGCTTAAATCCATATCATGAAAGAATTATTCTTTGTGAAATATTTGATCACTGATATTTGTTTGACCTAGTATGTATGGTGAATTTTCATGAGTAGTTTCTTTTCGCTTGTCTCATTTTACACTTTACAGTGCTTCCATTCCTTGTGGCACCTTACCATGCAAGTGTAGGAGATATACATCTGCCCTTTTACTTTCTCCTTTCTCACTATCCAAGGCCCCAGATGCTCCTTTCAAGTGAAACAACAATTCTTCACTTTGTAGTTTTTTATGCTGTACTGATTGCTCATGATGTGGCTACCTCTACATGGGAGAAGCGCGTGATGATTGCTTTGCAGAGCACCTTTGTTCTGTCCATAGAAACGCCCTGACTTCCTGGTTACATGTGATTTGAATTCCCTACCTTGCTCCTAAGCTGACGTTTCATGGTCTGATAGTGTTCAAAAAATACTCAGTGCAAGCTCTAGGTATGTTTATTTTTATTCAACTCAGCACACCGACTCTCTGGACTGAACATTGAGTTCAACAATTTTAGATCATAACTCCTGTATACATCTTATTCTGTGCATTTTTTGCTTTGCCTTTGTTTTGCTGAGATGGTCTTATGTGTTTTCTTTCTTTATCTCTTCATGGTGCATTCAGATCATTTTATGTAGAAATTCTCAGGTCATTTCAACACACCCTTTGTTTCTTCACTATATCCTTTTTGGCTGGTGCATCATGAAATATTTTATTATTTAATCTCCCTGGTCTGCAGCCTAACACTGATCTTTGTTCCTCCTGCCCCTTCCCTCTTTCCACAGGAATAAAATCTCTTGTATTTCTATTTTTTAAAATATTCACTCATGGGTTGTGGCTGTTGCTGGCTGGGACAGCATTCATTGCCCATCTCGAGTTTCCCTTACAGACGTGGTGGTGAGCTGCCTTTTCTAAATTCCTTTCATAGGACCTCTGGACGACACATGCTTCCTTCACTGATTCAGATAACACATCCACTATAGCTTGAAATATGCTAGCTTTATATCTTGCATTTTTTTAAGTGTATCGGCAATATTGGCATACAGTTTATTACTGAGCAGTTCTGTTTCTCGTTGCAGACACGTCGATTTCGCCGGAATGTTCAAGACGAGACAAAGTACATTGAGCTGATGGTTGTTAATGACCATTTTATGGTAAAGGCCACATTTAATCTGGTTCAGGATTATTTGACCTTTGATTCTTTGACACAGTTTGTAGAACAACAATTTACAGGAGTAAATTATAGTTTATAAACCAAGTTATAAATTATAAGGAGTGAGTTACAGCTTTCCTCAAACAGAAGGACACCACAGGGGCAAACTGATGCGGAACTTGAAGTGATAAAGTTCAGGGATCAAGAGTGAAGAGATTGTTAAAGATGTTGGTTCTTAGGAGGTTATAAGGTTGGTAGATGGGTAGCAGAGAACAGTGGATCAAGAAGGGAATTCCAGAGAGGAGGGCTGTAATAGTTGAAAAATTGATCTTCGAAGGTGCAGCAGAGGAAGCAGAGAATGAAGAGGTGCAGAATGACTGTGCAGTTAGAAAACATTCCTTTAGGAAAGTGAGAATGAATGAAATGATTCGTTAATGCACCAATGCCATTAACTTTGATAAAGATAGTAATAATGAAAATGCAAGATTTACTATGACAATGAAATCAATGGTGAGGAGATTGATGATTATAGGATTAGAAAATTCCTTCTTTGAAGTGCTGAGGGCACTGAGATAAGAATTTCTGAGGACTGGAACTAAACTGGAGAATTTTCAAAAGTTGAAGGAAGGAAGTGTTGGAATGAATCTGAAGTGGATTTTAGAGCTCAGTTCGGAACTAAAGAAAACACCATGGTATCATAGCAACCGGTTCATCCTGGGCATCATAGACTGACCATCCCATTAGTGTCAGTCATCAGTCCACTGCCACTTTCAGAGGAGTCTGTCATTAGATGGCCTAAGTGCCTTCATGTTTCAAGCAGTAGGCTTCTTTCAATTAGCAGATCAGGATCTCATGACTTCACGGCAATCTGACGCCCAAATTAGGATAGATCTGCTTGGAGTTTATCTGGTGAATAAGGCCTGAAAATATAAGATTTATTTTTCTGTGGCTAGGAAAAGTAGGGGCATTTCTTTGGGATCTCAAAATACTTTCTTTTGATAGCTTTCAATGAGCAAATACCGTCCTGGACTAATCTTGTTTCTGGCATGCCCCTGGACTAACTAATATTGAGCTGGCCTAAATCCAGCAACCTGCATTGGACCATCCATTTGACATCTGTTGGAGCTTCTAAATAATTCCAGTGGATCTGTTCAAATGAGTGGGTTGCCAGAACAGTGGACTGCATTGGACACTCTGAAGTTAAAATTGACTGAAAATTTGGAGATAAATTAAGATTCGAATTATCAATGGATAGATTTGGATCATAAAAGATAGGCATTGGAACAAAATGGAATAATGTAGTGAAGAGGCAGATAGGTCAAAGAGGCCTGAGAAGAATAGCAAGCTGCTGTTGTACTCACAGAAGACGTCATCATAGTTTATTCATGAGACAGATGTATTTTTACTCAGTACCAGTAAAGGCAATGAACCCTTTATCTCTTTTGTTTTTGGCGTTACAACAATATCTGTAATTATTTTGGCTGATACATTCCTTAAAATATATTCATTGTTAGCAAAACTACATTTATAATATCACTGCAAATGATCCCCCAGATTCTGAAATCTTGAATATGTACAAATATATTACATTGGACTTTAAAGAAAAGGAGACCATTTGGCCCATTGTGCCTCTGCAAGCTCTTTGAAAGAGCAATCCAATTAGTCCCACCCCAATGTTCCAAACCAACCATTACGAAAACCAAAAATGTCAGTGGTCTGAATCATGGGACCAGAGCCATTTTTCTAAGCAGGGAGTTCCAGATTATCCTGTTCAATAGACTCTTAGTAGAACATTTTAGCTAAGCCGGCTGGATGGCTGGTTTACGATACAGAGTGATGCTAACAGCAACGGTTCAATTCCTGCAATGGCTGAAGATGCCATGAGGGACTCTGCTTTTCAACCTCTCTTGCCTGAGGTGTGGTGACTGTCAGGTTAAACCACCACCAGCCGTCTGTCTCTAATGAGAGAGCAGCCCTGTGCTCTGGTAGAATGTTGGCAACTTTACCTTTAGCAGAATGTTGGCACACATCTAGTGAGATGAGATTGACTCGATTCCAGGTGATTGTTCAGGGAAGTGGAGACCCAAAGAAATTCTATTTTAAAAAAAAAAGCTGCATTAGTTCTTTTGCATAAGGGATTGAGATGCACACTACTGAGTCTGACGTGGTGGTAGTATTGGGGTGAGACCTGACCAATCTCCACCCCCACTACCTGCTTCTTTCCACAGCTGGATGCTAGAGATGGTTCTCTAGCACTCTTGGTGCCAGAAGCCCTTTGTTAATGAGGGACACTTGTCAACCCTCCAAATCTAGTAGAATCAGCACCAGATGGCACAAACACAAGCTATGATGTTACAGTGCACAGCTTCTTAGAAACTACAGATATTTTTGTATCAATAATAAACACCAACTATTGCATTAAAAGTAATCCCATTTTTATCTTGGACAACAGTGATAAACTCAATCATGCAGTTATTGCCTTAGAGCTTACTTACTGCTAAACACAGACTGAATGAATGTTTATGGTGATGGCAAAGTCAAGCCATCAGGTTTAATAGTGAGAACTAATCCCACCTCATCCAGCAGTGGAACAACTAGCTGCATATCGCCAGCAACTGCCAATAACAGAGAGCCTGTCCTAACAACTGCCAGTCCCATTAAAGAGCTATCAGCCCGGCAGCACCACAGCTGCCAGTGGTCGTTGCACGGCCAGGGGTCCTTAGAAGAGAGTTAGGACTGAATATCTTTCTGCTGGAGTTCATAGAAACTAAGTGTTGGAGTCATGGCTCTGTGAAATTGTGGGAGCTGGGGCTGAGAAGAATCAGTGTGGCACTAACAGGTCAGTGCATCTGGGAGTGAGTGTTGAAAAGCCCACAGGTAATATTCCCATGATGCAATGGAGCAAGATTAGAGCCCAGGGAGAAGCTGTTGAGGAATAACTGGAGTTGTGCCCATGTAGTTTCCGGAGTCTAGGGGAATATAAACTCAGGGAAGAAGGATGACCAACACGGTTGGGAACAGTCATTGAGGCAATCCATGGCAGAATGTCTCTTAAGAGTGAGTTCAAGGCCCATCAGCAAAAGTGAAGAGCTGTAACCCCTTATGAAGTTTAATGAAATTTCTGGATCCACTGTGCCATTAGAGTGTCGGAGGAATTGCTGAGAAATCCATGGGATTTCTGTCTTGATCACATTTCCAATTTATATGCACTGCATGGTGTTCAATCACAGTCTGTAACGTGTATTTATTACATGTTAATTCTGCATGTTAGAATATAAGCTGTGTATATATTGTAAATTGTGTTACTGTTCTAAAATTGTAAAGTTTATTACCATTTATTCAAGACTGTGGATATTGTGGCTTTATTCTCTTAGTAAATCCCCTCGATCTCATACTTTTCTAACTTGATTGATTTGATTTGATTATTATCATGTGTATTTCGTTACAAAATACAGTGAAAAGTGTTGTATAGTGTTGCAGAAAACACAGAAAAATGAACCAAAAAATGGATTGTAAAGGCAGAAGAATAAAGAAATAAAGAAAAAGTGCTCAACTTTACAGTCATTCTTGTTAAGTGCTCCGTTGTGGGCTTGGTGGCCAGGCATGAGTCCCACCACCGCTGGAACGAGAGTCGCCACAGTTTGGTGCCATCTCACCTCCACCAACACCCTCTCCACTATGAGTTCTTTCTGGACCTTATCAATGCAGATGTCGCAATGCTGCCTGTTACTACTCAGACTGGAACATAAATTTGGGTAGTTTGGTCTGAGATGTGATAGCAACAGTTCAAGTATTTGTGAATATTTTTCCATTTTGTTCTTCCTCCTGATACTGATTCTCTGTAAAAGGAGTAGAAATACATTTTAGCAATTGACATTTAACACTAAAAAAATGAATCATGTGGCATAAGTTAGTAAATTTCTGTAAACTGCTGTATTGCTTTACAGTTGTTGCAAGATTTGAATAATGCAGATTACCATTTTTTCCTTTCATAGTTTAAAAAACATCGTTTATCGGTGGGCCTTACAAACAATTTCGCAAAATCAATTGTGAACATGGTGGATATGGTAAGTGTTGATCACTGTTCTCACAAAATGCACAAACAAAGAGTCAGAGCTGAGACTGAATTATAGCATGTTTTGAGCACAGAAAGAGGCTATTTAGCTTGTCATGTCTCTGCTGGCCCTCGTAGGAACAATTCGCCTAGCCCTATTCCCTTTCTTTTTCCACTGGCCCTGCAGATTTTGTTGTTTCAGATAATGATCTAATTCTCATTTGAATCCGTAATTCACCCCATCTTTACCACTTTGTCAGGTAGCGCAATCCACATTGTAACCACTTACCATGTGAAATGCTTTTCCCATGCTGCTCTTGATTCAATTTCCAATTGCTTTAAGTCTGTGCCCGCTCATTCTCGATTCTTCCACCAACGGGAAAAATTTTCCCTATCTACTCCAGCCAGACCCCATTTGAATTTGGATACCTATGTATGAATCTCCCCATAATTTTCTATTCTCCAAGAGAAACAGTCCCAACTTCTCCAATCTCATTCAGTAACTGAAGTTCTTCATCCCTCAAATCATTCTTGCGAATCTTTTCATTCTGTGATGCTTCTGTGTCCTTCCTAAATGATGCTGCCCAGAACTGGGTGCAGTTGAGGCTGAACCAGTGTTTTATACAGCTTTAACATAGCTTCCATGCTTTTGTATTCTTTGTCCCCATTGATTAAGCCAGATTGTGGTATTCTTTCTTAACCACACTCTCATTCCAACTTGCCACCTTCAATGATCTATGCACACATACACTTAGATTCCTTTGTTCCTGCACCCCATTTGATATTGTACCCTTTCTTTTAGAATGTTTCTCTGCATTCTTCCTACCAAATACATCACCTCACAACTCTCTGTGTTAAATTTCATCTGCTACTTGCCTGCACATTCCACTAAACTATGAACTTTCGAAGTTCTACACTATCCTCCTTGTGAATCATGTTACCTGCAAGTTTAAAGATACCTAAATATTTTGAAATTGTATCCTACATCTAAGATCTAGACCACTAATATAAATCAAAAAGAGCAGCGGTCTGAACATCAAACCCTGGGAAACTTCACCATCCTTCAGTCCAAAAAATGCTACTGTTGGCCCCTATCATTTGCTTCTTGTCACTCAGCCAATTTTGTATCCACTTTGCTATTATCCTTTTTGATCCATGCATTCTAACTTTTTCTTGCAAGTATGTGTGTGCTACTTTATCTAATATCTTTTAGAAATCCATGTGCACCACATCAGCAGTTTTATCCTTCTCAACCCTCTCCATTACTTTATCAAAATACTCCAGCAAGTTAGTTAAATGCAATTTCCTTTAGCAAATCCATGCTGATTTTCCTTAATTAACCTGCATTTGTCCAAGAAACTGTTAATTTTATCTTGAATTATTATTTCTAACAGTTTTCTCACGATCAAAGTGAAACCAACTGGTCAATAGTTCTGGGTTTAGCTTTACACCCGTCTTTGGACAAGGGTAAAATGTTTACAGTTTTTGAATCCTCTGGCGCTACCCCGATCCTAGGAAGATTGGAAAATTGTGGCTCGTGCCTCCACAATTTCCAGTCTCATTTCCTTCAGTATTCTTAGATACAGCTCATCTGTTTCCATGCATAAAATCCCCTTATTGGTGCCTAATCAGCTTCACTTCTCCTCTTTCCATACTTTCACTATTTATATGGATATAGAATTCTTTTGAACTCCTTTTACTGTTAACTGCCAATCTTTTCCATACTATGTCTTGCCCTCTGAACTTTCTGTCTTTGGCCTGGTCCTTAATTGTATTATCTACCTAACATCTGTCAGAGCATAAAACAGAAAGTGCTGAAGAAACAAAGCAGATCTGACAGCATCTGTGGAGAGAAAAACAGAATTACCAGTTGGAGTCCAGTGACCCTTCAAGATCTTCGGAGTTTCTCTAACACTTCCTGTTTTTGTTCTTGATTTCAGCATCTGCAGTTCTTTGTTTCATCTGTCAGAAACACTCCTTTTCTGCATCACCTTAAGCTGTATCTCTATTGTCATTCAGAGAACTCTGGATTTGTTCCCCCTTTGTGAGAATGTAACATGACTGTACTTGAAGTATCTCTTCTTTAAAAGAAGCCTATCGCTTAGCTTCAGTATTGCCTACTAATCTTTGATTCCAATTGCACTAGTCCCTCGATTCTCTATGCTTTCTGGGATATTTTATATTTTCTCCGTGAAAACAGATGTGTAGTACTTGGTTTGTTTCTCTGCCATTTCTTTATTCCTCATTATAAATTCTGCTGACTGCACTTGAAATGGATCAGTATTTGTATTTGCTAATCTTTGCCTCTTTACATACCAATAGAAATTTGTACAGTCATAAGAACACAAGAACATAAGAACTAGGAGCAGGAGAAGGCCATCCGGGCCCTCGAGCCTGCCCCGCCATTTAATAAGATCATGACTGATCTTTTTGAGACTCAGCTCCACTTACCCGCCCACTCACCATAACCCAGTCCATTTATACTTTTCTCATTATTTTATTCTCTTCCTATTTTCCCATTTTTTTGGCCCTCCTTTAGCTGAATTCTAACATGCATAATCCAAGAGCTTACCTTTGTCTTTGTAATTTTTCACGATAAAATGCAATTGTTAATTTCTTTCATTAGTCATATTCTGACGCTGTCTTTCCTGGATTGGTTTTCCGATGAAGGGATGTATTCTTATTTTAAACTATGAGATTGTATATTCTAAACATGTAAACTACATATTAGTTCTTTAAATGTCAACCATTGCCCGTCCTAATGTTGCACCTTTTAATGTAGTTTCCCAATCCATCATCATTAGGTGGAAAATCTGTGAACATTCAGGAAGTATTGGTTAAATGCCACTTGCCTCATTTTCCACTGATTTTCTTTGTCCAAGTTAGAGTTGATGAGTGTTTAAGAGATAGTCCTGACAAAATTGTTTAATGTAGTTTTAGTACCTTGCATGATGTTGCATTTTGTTACAGAATGTATCTTGCACCATGTTTAAAAATTTTAATAAGTATATATACATGTGTTAATTTGTATTATCATATTGTACATCAGATATTCAAGGAAGAGCTCAACACCAGAATTGTACTAGTGGCTATGGAAACCTGGTCAATTGACAACAAGTTCACCATAGATATGAACCCTCAAGTAACTCTACGAGAGTTTATGAAGTACAAGAGAGATTTCATTACAGTGAAGAGTGATGCCATTCATCTATTTTCGTAAGTAGCATATTCAGACATTCCTTCAAAATACTGAGAAATTAATTTTTATGTAGGCTGCATGGAGTTACATGTTGATGTCATTCAGATATCATCCGCTTGAATCATTTCATACCACAGCAGTAAGCAATCACTTTACTCGTGATTTTTTTATGTTTTTGTGATCGTACACTTACTTAAAAAAATGGTCTTCTCCCTGAGGCTGCTTTCCAGAAACCTAGGGCCAGCAAAAGAGAACTTTGAGGAAACAACTATCATGTTACCCTGGAAGTTGCCAGTTGTCTGTAGGCTTTTGGAGGAGATTAGGAGCAGTGAATTGGATACTTGCCTCAGATAAATTAGGCCAATTGTTTTCATGATGCCCTGAGCGAAGTATCAATACGCAACTCAGAACAACTTTTCCGGCATTCACACCTCAGTTAACAAATTGTTTTGGAAAGTGCTGCAACTCGTGAAAGAAGTTTGACTTATGTAGGTTTTTTAACATAGAACTTGTAAGTGCTTTAAATAAAAAAAACTAGCACATGTCTAACATTGGGAAGGAAATTAGAAGAGGCAACAATTTATTGATTTTAAATTTGAGATGGATAATTTTTTTAATCGAGCGGAGGTATTAAGGGATATGCACTCCAATGGCACGTTTATGGAGTTATGCCACATATCAGCCATGATTTCACTGAATGACGGAACAGGTTTGAGGGGCTGAATAGCCTACTTCTGTTCCTATGATCCGATAACAGAAGGTTGAAATTGTGTGGTTTTAGGGCTTTATACAGGAAATTCAAGATTTGTAGAGGTAAAATTGATTTTAGGAGGAAGCTCCAGAGATAAGGTGAATAAGATATATGGGAATCTGCAGTCATAGGACTGAAGAGCCCAGGAATGGATGAATCGCTCAAGGAGGTTGCACAGGTAGGGAACAGCCATGTCAAGGATTGATTTGAGCCTGATGACAAAGTTGTAAAATTGAATAGGTTAGCATAAGGAATTTATAGGGATGAATAGAGCTAAGAGTGAGAGGCGAGCAGATACTTAATACAGAGCTGATTACCAATGGCTGTATATTGGATAGAAGGCCAAGAAGGAAGCTATTGTTGCAATTGACTCTGGAAGTGACAAAAATGTGCATGAGGTTTTGTCTGGAGTGCAATCGAGGTGAGGGTGGAAACAGGCAATGTTACAGATATATAGACAAGTATATTTGCAGATAACACCAAAAGATTGGTGGTATAGTGGGCAATGAAGAAGGTTATCTGGGAATGCAGTGAGATCTGGATCAACTGGGCCAGTAGGCTGAGGAATGGCAGATGGAGTTTAATTTAGATAAATGTAAGGTATTACATTTTGGTGGGTCAAACCAGGGCAAGACTTACACAGTCAATGTTAGGGCTGTGGGGAGTGTTACAAAACAGATCTCGGGGTACTGGTTCATCTCTCTTGGAAAGTGGAGTCACAGGTAGATAGAGTAGTGAAGAAGGCTTTCAGCATGCTTGCTTTCATAAGTCAGAGCACTGAGTATAGGAGTTGGGACATCTTGTTGCAGCTGTACAAAATGTTGGTGAGGCCACATTTGGGGTACTGCATGCAAATCTGGTCGTCCTACTGTAGAAAAGATATTATTAAACTAAAGAGAGTGCAGAAAAGATTCAATAGGATGCTACCTGGATTGGAAGGTTTGAGTTATAAGGAGCGGTTGGATTGGCTGGGATTTTGTTCCCTGAAGTGTAGGAGATGGAGGGTTGACCTTAAAATCATGAGTGGCATGGATAAGGTAGATAGTGGACAACTTTTCCCCATGGTAGGGGAGTCTAAAACTAGAGGGCATAGGTTTCAGATGAGAGGAGAGAGAGACAAAAGAGTCCAGAGGGACAAGTTTTTCTTGCAGAGAATGGTGAGTGTCCGGAACGGGCTGCCAGAGATAGTGGTGGAAGCAAGTACAATTTTGTCATTTAAGAAACATTTAGACATGGATGGGATAGGTGTGGCAGGCAAATGGGACTAGTTTAATTGTGAAAATTGGGCGGCATGGACAAGTTGGGCCGAAGGGACTGTTTCCATGCTGTAGATTTCTATGACTCTATGACTATGACTATGAGTGCACTTGGTGTTAGAGAGCATGTGAGGTATGAAACTCAGAACAGGCACAGCCATAATGCCAAGTTTGTGCATAGTTTAGTTATAAATGAGTGGCTTGGAAGAGAATTTCAATCAGTGGCAAAGCAGCAGGGCTTATGATTGACACTGAAAAAATGCTTGTGATGTCCTATCGTTTAACTGAAGGAAGTTATGGTTCATTCAAGACTTTATGTCAGAATCAAAGAGAGCTGTAGTTTACTTTATGCCAACAGTGATTTCAGGATTTCAAGAACTCTTCCAGCCTCACAGTTGCCTTTGTAACAGGTGTCTGGATATGGTTTTAGGAATCCTTTGCTTGGCCATTGTGAGATCAGTATATGGCAATTTCTCTTTTTTTCATGGAAGGACAGAATCTTCATTCCACGTAGATGATATATGTAATTGAGATAGTATTCATTTAGTGAAAACGTTTAGGGGTCTGAGCATAATGGGCTATGGTGTCATTTGTCATAGAATCAGACAAGAAGTCCGACAAGGCTGATCTTTACGTCGAAAGCCTCTCACTGCATCATTTATGCTTTTCACAAAGTGGCATTGCAAGTTTCTTGCTAGGCAGCAGTGAGTTGCCAATTAAGTTGGATTATTGCTTGCTACATGCCATGTTAGTGACCCAACTTGCCTCATTAATATTCAGCTTCAACTCTTTCCAAATATGCTGAATAAGAGAAACCATGGAAATCAGAGTGGGTACTTGGTGACTTCAGCTCACTGCTTGCTCCAAAGGACCTCCATGTTGTGCATGACCAAACAGCATCTCAGGACATGACCAACGGTGGTCCAGCCACATGCACCCCTTGTCCATAGTCATTAGCATCCAGCACTTGCCAACCCCTCACAATCATCCTGGCATCTATTTGCAGACCATTTAGAATGCACTGGCTTGCATTGCAGGTCATACTGAGAGCTACCATTGAGAGGCTGTAGCAGGGACAGGCACAGTGTTCTTGGATGGGACATCTGTGTCCAATTGCAGGGCTGCTCACTTGCTCCCTTAGCACTTGACTACTTAGTTCTTACCTGCATGCTCACAGCATCTCAGCCTTGCCCTGTGATGCTGTGCCACACCTGTTAGTGCATTGGTACTTCAGTTAGAGCTAAAGGCTGTCAGTACAGCCGTTCTGTTTTGTACAGACACACAGACAAACTGCTTGTCTGTAGAAATCTGTCCAGGGGTAAGCAGGGGGTTTGAACTCATCTTGCTGTATGGCACAAGATGTCAATCTGATACCCGCACCATGTGGCAACTAGCTGTACAGCCAACACACTGCACGTTTATTCAACCAATTTGGAAACTTATGGGGGCTGTTGCTGCATCTGATGACCAGGCAGAGCCCGGTGCTTCCGATGTCCACCGTGAACCGTGTTCCCTTCCATCACTTGCCTTTCTCTAGATGTGAAATGCAACTGGAAAATGGCTGGGACAATGCAAGGTGTGCGCAAAGTCACTGTCACTTTGTTGGGTGAAAGTGCATGTCCTACATCTCAGGGAGAGGTCAAAGACATAGGGCCCCTCAGGATGCATGGAGTGTGCAGAGAGCCCAGAGTTTTCTGGTCTGACCCCATTCCCTGGGATGAAGAAGGTGCAGTGCTGACACCGGCTCCATATGTCCCGGGATATTGCGATAGTACAATGCTGGAGACTGGAGCAGGACCTGAGAGCTATAGGAGTGGGAAGCCATCCTTTCCTGGTGACTGTGGAGGTGATGACTGCTGCGAATTTCTGTGTGACAGGCTTCTTCCAGGGTCCGATGGGTGACCTGTATGGGATCCCTCAATTGTACACTCTCAAATATGTCATGACAGTGACTGATGTTATCAGTACACAATCACACTGGTTCACTTTATTTCCTGATGTCACGGTCAATGCTGTAGCCAAGGCAGTAGGATTGGAAACATAGCTGGATTTGCCCAGGTACAGGGTACAATTGACTGCACAACATGGCACTGAGAGGACCATATCACAACCCTGCAGAATTCATCAACAGAAAGGGCTTCCATTTGATTCATGTCCAGGTGATCAGTGATCACCATTTACCAGTTTCTGGAAGTGTGTGCCCACTACCCTGCAACAATTCCTTTGTCCTGGAGCACTCCTTTATACCTGGTGAATTTGATGGTGATTGCGCCTTACCAGACTAGTTACTTGAGGATAAGGGATATCCACTGTAACTATAGCTAATGACACCATTATGCAATCCCCAATTGATGCAGAGCGTGGATACATGCTTCGACCAGGGCTGAGGTGTAGCAGACGATGGTGCTGCTGGAGATGTCTGGGGGAGCCCTCCAATTTTGTCTGAACAGAGGGTGCTGCTTTGTACAAATGGAGTAGGCAAAGAGGTGATATGCCGGATATTGAGGAACTGGAGAATGGGAGAAGTCTTCCGAAGAGAATGACAAATTTATTGGGATGCTCTCCTTGTATGTGGTAGAACTCAGCTGCATCGGTGCTACAAGCCCAGCAGGAACTCAATGACACTCGGTTCCAGTAGATGAGAACTGGGTGCTGCAGACCATTGGGCAGTGTAAAATAGGCTAAGGTTGTCATGCCAGTATTTATTTGATTTGCATTGTGGAGCAAACTGCAGCCTCTACTGGTTTTGTTTGGTGTTCACTTTGCTGGCTGTAAATAAAAGCTCATGCTTGGATTTGTTGGATGGTTTGTTGGACAGTGACAATCTGTGGATCTACAGTGCACACTGGGAACAGAGTGGTGGTTACTTAGAGACGATGTTAAGATGGGATGAGGAAGATATTGTTATAGTTAGTACAGGCCGATAGATAAATAGCCTTCAAATTAATATTCAAACATTTGGAAACTTGGTATATGGTTCAAGGTAGAACTACTTTTTAAATTGGTACCTAATTAGGGTCCCTACTCATTATATAAAAGAACCCTTCAAAGGGGACATTAATGCTAGTAAGACTGCTGAATCCAATAAACTCTGCAGTTATGAATTAGAGAGATGATTTATCAAAATCCTTTAGACCTTGCCTCTTCTGCCGTACATGCTATATCATTGCAAACATTCATTATTTCTTAAGTAAAACAAAAGATAAACCCTAGGATTGTGCAATACTGATTTACTTTAAAGTGACACTGTACTTTAAACAAGAGCTGATCGCAGCATTAAATAGCAACAATAAAAAGATAATGATCCTGATGATTTTCTACTGTGCCTTTATATAATCTGGTCTGCTTTTTAAATTATGCATTAAATTGTCCAGATTTGGAAAATGATAAGTTAGCCATCATTCTGCATTTTCCATTTTGTGAATTCAATCATTTTCATCATATACTGGTGCTTAATGAATATACAGCTAGAGATGCTAGGTCTGTATTCTCTAGAGTTTAGAAGAGTCAGAGGTGACTTAATTGAAGCACGTAACATCCTGAGGGGACTTGACTGGGTAGATGTTGAAAGGATGTTTCCTGTTGTGGGAGAATCTCAAACTATGGATCATAACTTAAAAACAAGGGGGGGCGGCTATTTAAAACAGAGATAAGAAAACATTTAAAAACCAAAAGAACTGCGGATGCTGTAAATTAGGATTGGTTCTGAGGAGGGGTCACCGGACCCGAAACGTTAACTCTGTTTTTTCCCTTCACAGATGCTGCCAGACCTGCTGGGCTTTTCCAGCAACTTTGTTTTTGTTCATAAAAAAACATTTTTCACTCAGAGGGTTGTGAGCCTTTGGAATTCCCTTCCTCAAAAGGCAATGGATGTAGAATTATAAAATATTTTTAAGGTCGAGTTAGATAGATTCTTGATTAATCAGGGGATGAAATATTATTGGAGAAAGGGAGGAATGTAGAGTTGAGTTTGAAATCAGATCAACCATGATCTTATTGAATGGCGGAGCAGGCTCAATGGGCAGAGTGGCCTACTGTTGTTCCTTGTTTGTATATATATGTGAAACTTAATCTACTGTTTATCTACCTACCTACATTCTTCAGTAAAGCTTGTAGTTGCAGCTACCCTTATAATGGCCCTATTTAGGTTGCATCAGTAAAGTTGACAACCTCATTTAGTTTCCAAGCAGAATCAGCGTGACTCAAAGTACTGATACCTTAAGAATTAGAACTGACTACTCCACCATTATGCTACTAACTACTGTGCATGAAATAACAAGTTGATATTTTAGTCATCTGATGCTGTACTGTGCAGTTTCGCCCTCTGCTCAGTACACTCTAGCTGCTTCTTTCACAGTCGAATGCATCAGTTTATGAATAAAACAACAATGATATCACCAGTTTGCACCTAATTTAAGTGCTGACATCTTTAAATCTTCTGAGCATCTGACTATAGTTGCCAAATGAAAGCCTTTCAGTTATTCTGTCTCTTTCTGTAGTAACTGTGCCAGTTTGAAGCCTGGTATTATCACAGATGAAAAAAAAATTCTTTCCGAACATTACTAGTGTTGTTGTGTTATACTTCACGGAAATCAACAATGGTTTTGCTTATGATCCCAACAGTGATTTTGCTGATAAGGAGAAAAGAATGCAATTGTTAATAATCTGAAATGGTGGACATTCATAGAAGGACCATGTACTGTGGTCTAGGAAGAAGAATCATTTTCAACTTGAGTGATGAATACCTTTTGAGGGTAATATACTTAGTGACAAATGGATGGCAGAGTGGGTTAGAATATTCCTGTCATGGAAGAAAACCGATTTCAGATTCAACCCAGACTTATACCTATCCATTGAAGCATGTCGGGTAACTCTTCAGATGAAAACTCCTGTAAAATATGATGAAGTGCTATGAGTTGACGTTCAATAGACTTAAAAATTGATCATTGTGAGAAATGGAGTGACAGAGTAGCAATATTGAAAATGAGGCATACTGTTAGTGTAGGGTAAAGAAAACCCTTATATTCATTGGAAATCTGTTGCAATAATGCATCATGCTGACATAGTGCCATAGTAGAACCTGCTCCAATCTAATATATCTGGTAAAAAGCATTTTAACTCCCTCTTGGAGTGTATTTGTATTTGAATTCTTGCTAACCTTAATAGAAGGAGGTGTAGGAGGAAGCGACTGAGCGAGAGGCTTTGAGAAAATGGGTGAAGAATGAAGGAAACTATCTCACTGGCGAGACTGGCAAATTTTAAATGAGGGAAGAAAAAGGAGGGTGGAAAATAGATAGTGGATAGAGAGAATGATGAAGGGGAATAGGTATGTTAGTGGAAAAATCAAAGTGGTAAGGGAATGGGGGGAAGAGTAGGGTGATTTAAGAGGGCAGTGGGATGAAGGAGAAGGGGAACAAATGAGGGAAAATGTTGGGGACTAATCCTGGCTGATGTCAACAAACTCTTGTTATGGCAGAGTAGGTGGTGTAGCCTTCTTTCCATTTTACCTAGCTGTCCCGGGGGGGCCCAGGTTTGGTCTCTGTCAGGTAGAGGGCTAAGGGAGTCTTCTGAATATAGGACACAAAGTTAAGCCCAGTGAGAAGTTTCAGTGAGAGTAGGTTTTCCGTAAAGGGAAGGGCTGGTGGCAGGTGGTTGCCCATGAGTGAGAAGACACTAAAGGGAAGGTGATAATACTAGGATGGTTTCAGTGTTAAAGTTGGCAGAAACTGGCATGCCGGGGATAGCCTGAATTATAATGGAGTCAGAGCAGAAGAATATCGGCCTAGGAAGATTTAGCTGGCCGAATTACGGATATTGAAGGTGGCTGGGAATAATTCACAGAATCATCAAAAAGCTGTGTATCAAATATTTATGTAAAATATTGATCTAGTATTTTATACATCATTGATTATTGTCCTTGAATGAGAATGAGAAAGGCTTTACAAAGACTATAGTTGGGCGCACAATGTCTCCTGTAAAAGCAAACTGATAAAACTTGATGTGGTTATGAAAAAAAAGTTAGCCTTCTACAGTTAAGATCTATAGATCCATGCCAGTTACTCAATTAGCAAAATATAACCCATTATGACAGCAAGTCTCAGTGCTGCTCCACACTACCGTCCAGTGGCCAGAGTGCAGAAGTGCAGGCAGATCCAAACAATTCTTCATATATTCTTTAGCATCACAACCTGACATATTAATGGAAATTCCATGGATATATTTCTCAGAAAGCAATAAATCACTTTTTGATTTATGCTTCAACTCCAAAAATATAAATACTGCTGAATTAAAAAAAACATCTTGTCAAAGCTTTTTTCTCGACTATGTTCAACTTTTGTACCAACTGACAGTTTACGTAAATTACCTTAAGTTTTATTTCATTGAATTAACAGTTTTAGATATTATAGATATCACAGATTAATTAAATTCCTAAAGTTACTATGGGAGATTAGGAGGACCTCTGCTGTGATTCTAGCTGTAAGCCAGCAACTCTTGTATGTCACACAGAGTGACACGTCTAACAACACAAATACCTATTACTGTGTCACCATTGGGAACTACAGGCACATAGTGAGGTTTCAACAAGACATGCCTCACATACTGAGTTTAAAATATAGTCCATGTGGACGTAAGGATTTATATTGGAAAACTGTTAAGTGGCACTGACAGAAATTACATCAGGCAAAAGAGGTTTATTATATAATAAGTACGAACTATGTGTATACAATTTGCATTCATGAAGAAGATAAACATTATCGTACTCCAGTCAAGTTACAATGCAACCTAAGATAACAAGGTGTAGAGCTGGATGAACACAGCAGGCCAAGCAGCATCAGAGGAGCAGGAAGGCTGACGTTTCGGGCCTAGACCCTTCTTCAGAAATCAATGCAACCTAATTGAGTTGTCAATGGTACCATTCATGGATCTGCAATCTGTTTTCTGTATTTTGTGTGTCATTGAAAGGAATCATACATGTAAAGGTAATGGCACTTGCAATGTAAAATCATTATTCATCTGATATATCTTTTGAAATATATCTGAAATTAAAAACTGTTTTCTTTATTTTAAGGGGAACTATGTTTAAAAGCAGCCAGAGTGGAGCAGCATACGTTGGTGGAATTTGCACACAGTCTAAAAGTGGCGGGGTGAATGAGGTAATCTTCTGTTCTAGTAAAGGTTGACCTGGGAAGTTGCAAGCAGGATTGTGCCAAGGAAGTGATGAGATGCAGGTTCACTAGATTTCTAAACTGATTTGTGATCTGGTGGATGTTAGAACTGAGACCAGCAGCCTTCTAGTGTGGAATTGATAAAAGCAGTCAGAATATAAGTACACGAATAGAACATAGCATGTTCCCCTCCGCCCTCAATTCAGTAACATCAATAGCTACTACAAACTCACTCTATGTACCTTTGCCCAATATAAATCCATCCATCTCAGATGTAAAATTAACAGTTGAGGTTTGATAATACTTTGACATAGAGTGAGCAGTCTGTTGTTTTCAGAAGGGAGTTTCAAACTTCTTTCACTCTTTGCTTATGAATGTTTTTCTGAACTTAGCGCTTGAAAGGCCTGGCTCTGAGTTTTAGGCTATCGGTTCCCGAAAATAAAGGACCTTAGAAAAGTTAAAGCGCAGAAAGAGCCATTCAGCTCATCATGTCTGCGCTATCTGAACAAAAAAGTTCGCCCTCAAATCCTACTGTCCTTGCCTTGTCTAAGACGTTGCACGTTCCAGCACTTGTGGTTCAGTTTCCTTGTAAATGTATTGCGGGTTTCTGCCTTCATCACCAAACTGAACAATGATTTCCAAACCCTGCACCTGTTGTGGAAACATTTTTACTCCTGTCTCCTCTAATCCTTTTACAAATTACATTATATATGTCACATCTAGTAATTGACCTCTCTGCTGGGGGAAGCAGGTTGTTCCTGTCTGCGGTATCTATGCCACTCATAATTTTGTACATCTAAGTAAATCCTCCCCTCAGCCTCTTCTGTCCTCAGGAAAGAAAGTTCCTAGCCTATCCAACCTTTCCTGATAGCTGCAGTGTTAAAGCCCTGGCAGCAATCTTGTAAATCACCTTGGTACACTCTCCATACCAATTGTGCCCTTCTAATAATGTAGTGACCAGAACAATGTACAAAATTCCAGGCTTGGCCTAATCAGCTTTTTATACAATTCCAGCATTACATCCTGCCATTTGTATTCTGCACCTCTCTAGTAAAGGAAAGCACTCCATATGCATTCCTTACCATCTTATCTACCAGCCCTGCCACCTTCAAGGATCTGTGGACATTTATTCCAAGGTCTCTCACTTCCTCTACCTCTTTCAATTTGCTTCCGATTGTTGCATATTTCCTAGCTTTGTTTGCCCTTTACAAATGCATTACCTTTCACTCCTGCCACCTTCAAGGATCTGTGGACATGTATTCCAAGGTCTCTCACTTCCTCTACCTCTTTCAATTTGCTTCCGATTGTTGCATATTTCCTAGCTTTGTTTGTCCTTTACAAATGCATTACCTTTCACTCCTTTGCATTGAATTCCATTTGCCACTTTTCCACCTGCTCAACCAAACCATTGATGTCATTCTGGAGTCGATAGTTAACCTTTTCATTATCATATATACAGCCAATTTCTGTATGCAGAAAAGCTGCAAATTTCCTTTATGCATCCAATATTTAAGTCTAAGTCATTAATATATAGCAAAGTAAACAGCTAGGAAACCAAGAATGAGCCTTGTGGAACACCACTGGGAACCGCTTTCTATTTGCATAAACATCCACTGACCTTTAACCTTTGTTATCTGTCACTGACTAATTTGCTATATTCTCCAGCATCCCATGAGCTTGTACTTTTCTGATCAGTCAGCCATGTGGTACTTTGCCAAATACCTTACTAAAATCTATGTAGACGACATCCATTACAATACCCGTAAAAATCGTGTTACTTCCTTAAAAATTCAATTAAGTTAGTAGGACAGGACCTTCCCTGAACAAAACCACACCACCTATTCCTAATTAATCTATGCCTTTAAAGTGACAGTTTATCCAGCTCTAAGAATCAATTTCAATGATTTGCCCACCAAAGTCAGACTGACAGACCTATAATTATTTGGCTATCCCTTCTCCCATCATTTTTAAACATTTGTTCAACACTCACAGACCTCTGGTACTTGGCCTGTACCTAGTGAGGATTGGACATAATAATCAGACCATATCTTTGCAACTTTGATCAAATTAACCTCGAAGGTTCTAAATTACACAGAATACCATCTTTGTTTGTGTAACCTGTCCTTGTAATGTAACCACTGAAGTCCAGATATAATTCTGGTAAATCTGTGTTGCATACACTTCAGGATATATGTATCCTTCCTGAAGTGTGGTGGCCAGAACTGTACACCTTACTCCAAGGTGTAATCCACACAGGGATTTGTGTAGCTACCGCTCAGTAACCATTTTCTGTATTCTAATCTAGATAGAAAAAATGCAGAGAATGCTGGAGGAACTCAGCAGATCTGGCAGCGTCTGGGGAAAGAGAAAAACGGAGTTAACATTTCAAGTCCAGTGTGTACCAGACTCAAAACATTAACTCTGTTTCTCTCTCCGCTGATGCTGCCAGACCTGCTGAGTTTTTCCAGCATTCTCTGTGTTTATGTTAGATTTCCAGCAGCTGCAGTATTTTACCTTTCCCCTAGATATAAAGGTCAGCCTTCTATTAAATTATTTTAAATTATTTTCTGTGCTTGTTCTTGACATTTTAACAATCTATAAAACACTGACCCTGAATTTTCTTTGGAAATACACCCCCATCATTTCTAAAATGGTGGGAGGTGGGAGTGACTGTGCATGACATCAAGGCCGCATTTGATGTAATTGAGTGTAACATCAATGAGCCCTAGTAAAACGACAGTCAATGGGAATCAACGGAAAACCCACCTCTAGTTAGAGTCATACCTTGCACACAGGAAGGTGACTGCGACTGTTGGTGATCAGTCAGCTCAGCACCAGGACATCTCTGCAGGATTTCTTCAGGATAGCTTTCTAGGCCCATCCATATTCAACTGCTTCATCAATAACTTTTCTTCCATCTAAGGTTAGAAGTGGGATGTTTACTGATGATTGCACAATGTTCAGCGCCATGTCTGACTCCTCAGATACTGAAGCATTTTATACCCAATGTAGCAAGACCTGAACAATATAATTGGGCTTGGGCTAACATGTGGCAAATAACATTTGTGTTATATTAGTGACAGACAATGACTGTCTCCCAAAAGAGAGAATCTAACCATTGTCTGTTGATGTTCAGTAGCATCACCATCACTAAATACCCCACTTTACCATTGATCAGAAACTGAATTTGACTAGCCATATGAATACTGTGTCCACAAGACAGGTCAGAGGATAGGAATCCTGCAGTGAATCCTCAACTCCTAACTCCCCAAAGTCTATCCACGATCTACCAGGCACAAGTCAGGAGTGAGATGGAATTCTCTCAACTTGCCTGGATGAGCACAGTTCAATAACACTCAAGAGGTTTGACACCATCCAGAACAAAGCCAGCTTGATTGGCACCAAATCCGCAAACATTCACTCCCTCCACCACCGATACTCAGCAGCAGTAATGTGTATCAACTACTAGATGCACTGCAGAAATTCACCAAAGGCTGTTTTGACAACACTTTCCAGACCCGTGACTCGTTCTGTCTAGTAGGATAAGGGCAGTAGGTATATGAGAATACCACTACCTATATGTTCCCCTCCAAGCCGCTCACCATCCTGACTTGGAAATATATCACCTTCACTGCCACTGGGTCATAATCCTGGAACTCCCGCTTCAATGGCATTGTGGGTGTACCTACACTAAACTGACTGCAGTGGTTGGGGAAGGCAGCTCACACCACCTTCTCGAGGGTGACTAGGGATGAGCAATAAATACTGGCCCAGCCAGCAATACCCACATCCCATGAATGAATTTTTTAAAATGTGAAGTTGAGAGTAGATTTCGCACTTGCATCCTTTATCAGGAGTAGATGTGACCAAAAGAAACCAGATACCTGAGGGAAATAAATTACCAAGCAGCCTTACCCTAAGACAGTTCAGTAAAATCTATTAAATGGATTTAGTTATTTTTGGAAAATGTAACCTCGTTATTTTGACAGTGTATAGTTTGTTAAAATATTCCTTTATTTGTGACTAGTAAAGAAATTAATTACCTAACATCCAGCATCACTTCCCTCTAAGTATGTGCCCCTGTGTGTGTCATACCCTCTGTGGCACTCCGCAGGTGGGAAGATTCAGCTTGTATTCCTTTCTCACTTTTAATGTGGTGTGCAGCATTAATGCTGTTTTGTTTCTCATTATTACTTCTATGTTAAAGCTTTTAAGTTGTTGATTATTGCTGTTACACTTGCAATATCAGCAGTTCACTGCAAAGAGTGCCAAAAGAGTGCATCCATTTTCTACAAGTTAGTAGCAGGTTGCAGGCCACAAGGGAATTCTAAGTATTTTATGATCCATTTAACAATGGTAGACTGGTCAGTGATATGTGGCTGAATTGTCTAAGCATAAACCAGGAAACCTAAGTACTCTTTTACAGTAATAGAAAAAGTTATGTAAACTGCACAGTTTGGTAATTGGCATTGTTTGCAGGGTTGCATATAATGTTCTGCAATGTACAGTGTAGGCACTGTGCTGATTTGTTGCACAGACAGGCAGATAAAGCTGCCGTTATGAGTAAGTTACTCGATGAAGTTGAGAAATAATTTGCTGTTAGCATTTTAACATGAAAGTAGAAATAGATGTTAAACTTCAAGGCACGGAAGAACAGGTGTTATACTGCACTAATGCTTCAACATTTTTAAAATAACAGCTATGAATAAAATCTATTCTGAGAAAAGAATATTCTCACCTATCACTTTGATAGATGTGTATTTTCATAATGATAGCTGTGAATTAGCTTCCGATACTATCTGCCCAAATCATAATGGTTTAATGGTCAAGTTCCTAAAGATAAATGACAGGGAAAATTAATTTCATTGTTTTGAATTCTATAGGTATGATTTTAACCCATTTAAAATCATTTATTTACAGAGTTAAAATCAGACCCTGTACTTCCAGACTTTAAATATTTGTCAAAAATCCCCAAAAAACTGTGGATGCTAGAGATCCAAGACAAAAATAGAAAATGCTGGAAAATCTCAGCAGGTCTGAAGAAAGTTCACTGGATCCAAAACATTAACTCTGATTTCTTTCTACAGATACTGCTAGACTGCTGAGATATTCCAACAATTTATGTTTTTGTTTAAGTATTTGACCTCTGATTATTAACCTTTGTTAATGGAAATAAGTCCTTCCTGTATACTCTATCCAGTCCGATCACAACATTATATACCTCAATTAAATCCTTTCAGCCTTACTTGATCCAAAGAAAACAAGCACAGTTTATCTTTCCTCAACTAAAATGTTCCAAAGAACAAAGAAAATTACAGCACAAGGACAGGCCATTTGGCCCTCCAAGCCTGTGCCGATCCAGATCCTCTATCTAAACCTGTCGCCTATTTTCCAAGGATCTGTATCCCTCTGCTCCCTGCCCATTCATGTATCTGTCTAGATACATCTTAAATGACGCTATTGTGCCCGCCTCTACCACCTCCGCTGGCAACGCGTTCCAGGCACCCACCACCCTCTGCGTAAAGAACTTTCCACGCATATCTCCCTTAAACTTTTCCCCTCTCACCTTGAAATCGTGACCCCTAGTAATTGAGTCCCCCACTCTGGGAAAAAGCTTCTTGCTATCCAGCCTGTCTATACCTCTCATGATTTTGTAGACCTCAATCAGGTCCCCCCTCAACCTCCGTCTTTCTAATGTAAATAATCCTAATCTACTCAACGTCTCTTCATAGCTAGCGTCCTCCATACCAGGCAACATCCTGGTGAACCTCCTCTGCACCCTCTCCAAAGCATCCACATCCTTTTGGTAATGTGGCGACCAGAACTGTACGCAGTATTCCAAATGTGGTCGAACCAAAGTCCTATACAACTGTAACATGACCTGCCAACTCTTGTGCTTAATACCCCGTCTGATGAGTGAAAGCATGCCATATGACTTCGTGACCAGTCTATCGACATGCATTGCCACCTTCAGGGTACAATGGACCTGAACACCCAGATCTCTCTGTGCATCCATTTTCCCCAGGGCTTTTCCATTTACCGTATAGTTCACTCTTGAATTGGATCTTCCAAAATGCATCACCTCGCATTTGCCTGGACTGAACTCTGTCTGCCATTTCTCCGCCCAACTCTCCAATCTATCTATATTCTGCTGCATTCTCCGACAGTCCCCTTCATTATCTGCAACTCCACCAATCTTAGTGTCATCTGCAAATTTGCTAATCAGACCATCTATACCTTCCTCCAAATCATTTATGTATATCACAAACAACAGTGGTCCCAACACGGATCCCTGTGGAACACCACTGGTCACAGTTCTTCATTTTGAGAAACTCCCTTCCACTACAACTCTCTGTCTCCTGTTGCCCAGCCAGTTCTCTATCCATCTAGCTAGTACACCTTGGACCACATGCGACTTCACTTTCTCCATCAGCCTACCATGGGGAACCTTATCAAACGCCTTACTGAAGTCCATGTATATGACATCTACAGCCCTTCCCTCATCCATCAACTTTGTCACTTCCTCAAAGAATTTTATCAAGTTGGTAAGACATGACCTTCCCTGCACAAAACCATGCTGTCTATCACTAATAAGCCCATTTTCTTCCAAATGTAAATAGATCCTATCCCTCAGTATCTTCTCCAGCAGCTTCCCCACCACTGACATCAGGCTCGCCGGTCTCTAATAACCTGGATCATCCTTGCTACCCTTCTTAAACAAGGGGACAACATTAGCAATTCTCCAGTCTTCCGGGACCTCACCCGTGCTCAAGGATGCTGCAAAGATATCTGTTAAGGCCCCAGCTATTTCTTCTCTCGCTTCCCTCAGTAACCTGGGATAGATCCCATCCGGACCTGGGGACTTGTCCACCCTAATGCCTTTTAGAATACCCAACACTTCCCCCCTCCTTATGCCGACTTGACATAGAATAATCAAACATCTATCCCTAACCTCAACATCCATCATGTCCCTCTTCTCGGTGAAAACCAACGCAAAGTACTCATTAAGAATCTCACTCATTTTCTCTGACTCCTCACATAACTTCCCTCCTTTGTCCTTGAGTGGGCCAACCCTTTCTCTTGTTACCCTCTTGCTCCTTATGTATGAATAAAAGGCTTTGGGATTTTCCTTAACCCTGTTTGCTAAAGATATTTCGTGACCCCTTTTAGCCCTCTTAATTCCTCGTTTCAGATTGGTCCTACTTTCCCGATATTCTTCGAAAGCTTCATCTGTTTTCAGTCGCCTAGACCTTATGTATGCTTCCTTTTTCCTCTTTGCTGGAATCACAATTTCACCTGTCATCCATGGTTCCCTAATCTTGCCCTTTCTATCCCTCATTTTCACAGGGACATGTCTGTCCTGCACTCTAACCAACCTCTCTTTAAAAGCCTCCCACATATCAAATGTGGATTTACCCTCAAACAGCTGCTCCCAATCCACATTCCCCAGCTCTTGCCAAATTTTGCTTTAGTTGGCCTTCCCCAAATTTAGCACTCTTCCTTTAGGACCACTCTCGTCTTTATCCATGAGTATTGTAAAACTTATGGAATTGTGATCACTATTCCCAAAGTAATCCCCTACTGAAACTTCAGCCACCAGGCCGGGCTCAAATGCCACTGCCCAAATATATCACTTCACTCACCTTCCCAGAGTACTATTCGACCACTCCCACTCAGCTCCGCTGCCGAAATGAAGAACTTACCTTCCTGGCAGTCCCCTGGTCCTTGCTGTCACCGTTCCCCCTGCTGCTGCAAAAATGGAGGCCGCTGATTCTACGAGGTAAGGATTTAAATGGGAAACGTACCTCCCAGCAGCCCCCGGTCCTTGCTCTCACCGCTCCCGCCGCTGCTGCAAAAATGGAGCTCTCACTGTTCCATTCCTGGCAACATCTTTGTAATTCTCCTCTATACTTTGCTAGTTCAATCACATCCTCCCTGTAATAGGGTGACCAGAATGTTAACAGTTCTCCGGCTATAACTGGTGTGACTCTTTTTCACATGGTTCTTGCATAGCTTACATGCTCCTGTTCTCCTGGTGTCAGTCAACAAAAGGAATCGCACGTACTTTTTTGCCCACGTTATCTCTCTGTCCCACCCTCTTTGGGGATCTGTGGACATGTTCTCCAAGGTCTCTCAGAGTCACTGACATACAACATAGATACAGGCTGTTCGGCCCAACAGGTCTATGCCGACCACTAACGCCAAACAACACTAATCTCATTTATCTGCACTTGCTCCATAGCCTACTATGCCCAGGCGTTTTAAGTGCTCATCCAGAAGTATCTTAAATGTTGTGGGAATACCTGATTCCGCCATCCTCTCAGGCATCACATTCCATATTTCTACCACCCTCTGGATGAAATTATATTCTCCTCAGATCTCCTGTAAACCACTTACTCTTCATCCGAAACTAGTGCCCTCTGGTCTCTGTGTGAAGAAGTTGCCTCTCAGGTTCCTTTTAAATCTTTCCCCTCTCACCTAGTTTTGGACTCCCCCTACGTTGGGGAAAAGATCTTGGCTATTCACCCTATCAGTGCCTGTCATGATTTTATAAACCTCTATATGGTCATCCCTCAGCCTCCTACGCTCCAGGCAGGAAAATCCCAGTCTATCCAGCCTTTCCTTACAACTCAAACTTTCCAGTCTCAGTAACATCCTTTTAAATCTTTTTTGCACCCTTTCCAGTTTAATAACATTCTTCTAGATATTTTCTAACCTGTTCAGCGATTTTATGCAGAATCCTACCAATTATTGTATATTCTCTTGTCTTTTCTGTCCTGTCTGAAATACATTATGTCACAAATAGCTATTGAAGTCTTTTACACTAAAGAAAATGAAAAGTGAAGATAGATTTTCAGTGATTTTTTTTTTAACTGGGGGCTCATCTCAGATGACATCTGATGCTTTGTTTCAGTTTGGAGGTGCTGGTGCAATGACTGTCACACTTGCTCAAAGCCTGGCCCAGAATCTTGGCATCTTTCCAGATAACAAAAGAAAGGATGGTAAGCTTTTGCATTGCTAACGTATTTAAAAGGGATCTTCTGTGTGCACCAAATCTTTAGTTCAGAGAAACATATCTTGGTATAGTATATTAGAAAATGCTTGGTCTTATTCTTATTGCTATCTCAGTTTTACATGTGCCCATGTTTTGCCAACAGAAATGGAACAATCCTGTTTATTAAAGTAAAAAATAAGGCATATAAGAATAAATCTGTGTGTTGTGAATTACAAAGAATTGTCTAGCAAATGTATCAGGTCTAGCAGTGCTTATGCAGTCCACCTCATTCACTGCCCTCAGCAAATGTTAATAATGTTAACTCTTGAGATAAGCAAAGTGAAGCCGCAGGAAATATAATTTTGGTAATTGGGAAAAAAATGCAGTGAAATTAGTACCTGACTATGAAAAACAGTCAAATATGCTGCAGGGCATAATGATTATTCATGATGCATCGCTAGACCAATTTAATTAATCCATACAATCCTAAAATACCAATGTGTCCTCCTAATTCAACAACTTGTCAGATACCTTGTCAGAAAATGTGATCCTGCACTTAGCACATCCATCATGTACATTTCCCAGCAGAGGGCAAGGTTCTGAGAAGATATATGCTTCCTGACAGCAGTTTTGACTCTAGACATTTTAGAAACATGCCACCCAGATCTACAGTAAGCATCTGTTTCAGATCTCTAAATCTAATACGTCTATTACTTTCCTATTTCTAAAAGCTTAAATCATATGCCCACTGAACCAATTTTTCTCCTTAGTAAACAATCACAGTCACAAGAACTAGGCCAATCTTTCTGCAGGATCTAAATTTGAAGTATTTTTTTTAACTGTCTCAAAGGACGTAGACATCATTGGCTAGGCCAGCATTTATTGTGCATCTCTTGTTGCCCTGGAGAAGGTGTTGGTGAGCTACCTACTTGGAACACCCACAGTGCTGTTAGGAAGGGAGTTCCAAGATTTTAACAGAGCTACTGTGAAGGAATAATGATATAGTACCAAGTCAGGGTAGTGTGTGGCTTGGAGGACAACTTGCAGATGGTGGTGATCTGATGTATTGGTGAGGAACTATGGTTCTCCTTGTGGATATTATACACTGATCCCATTGTTTATCAATGGTGAAAGGAGTGAATGAAGCCACAATGCTACAGATGCTGGAAATCTGTAACAAGCACAAAGAATGCTGGAGCAACTCACCAGGTCCAGCAGCATCCGTGGAGAAAGAAACAGAGTTAAAGTTTCAAGTCCAGCGTGACTTTCCAGTGTGTCCAGTCCAATCTTTTTCAGAAGATTGAGGGGGGATCTTATAGAAACATATAAAATTATGAAGGGAATAGATAAGATAAAAGTAGAGAGGATGTTTCCACTGGCAGGTGAAGCTAGGACAAGAGGGCATAGCCTCAAGATTAGAGGGAGCAGATTTAGGACTGAACTGAGAAGGAATTTCTTCACCCAGAGGGTTGTTAGTCTATGGAATTCCTTGCCCAGTGAAGTAGTTGACGCTACTTCAGTAAATGTTTCTAAAAAAAAGGTAGATTTTTTTTGAACAATAAAGGAATTAAGGGATACGGTGAGAATGCGGGTAAGTGGATCTGAGTCCACGAAAAGATCAGCCATGATCTTATTGAATGGCGGAGCAGGCTCGAAGGGCCAAACGGCCTACTCCTGCTCGTGGTTCTTATGTTCTTATGTTCTTATGTGACTTCTTCAGGACTTCAGCTTCTCCAGTATTCTCTGTGTTTGTTTTTGCAGAGAGTGAAGGTTGTCAGTGATTGATGGGATCCCAAACAAACTGTTTACTTTGTCCTGGAATGAACACAGAAAGTGTTCAAGAAACTCAGCAGGTCTGACAGTATATGAGGAGAGGGTTAGCTCTTTGGAGTTCCAAAGAAGTGTCACTAGACTCAAAATATGAACTTGCTTACTGTCTCTGCAGATGCTACCAAACCTACTGAGTTTCTCCAGCATGGAGATGGATATTGTCAAGCTTCTTGAGTGTTTGTGATGCTTTTATCCAGGCACAAGGAAAATATTTGATCACACTCCTGACTTGTCCTTAGTAGATGGTGTACAGGCATTGGGCAGACAGGAGGTGAATTGCACACTGCAGAATTCCTCACCTCTGACCTATTCTTGTAGGCCCAGTTAGTACATAGATGGTCCAGTTCAGCTTCTGGTTGATGGTAACCCCCAGGGGTTGCAGTTCAGAGTTGGCATTGTCAGAGGGAAAAGGCTAGATTTTCTCCTATTGAATCACAGATGGTCATTGTCTGGATGTTCCTAGGGTAATTGTGGTAGCCCCTGTTCAGAATTTGAATAACGTCACTGGATGCAAAATCTAGAACTGGTCAAAGGAAGGATGAAGTCTGTCTCTGTGATCAAGCAAATAGGTGATGGCAAATCAACACTCTTTTGCATTCAGCCAATGTTATTTTTCATTTAAGTTAGTGTAAAAGAAAGTCAGACAGAGTATTAAATACACTGCCATTTTCTATTTGCCCACATTGTGGTGGCTCAGTGGTTAGCACTGCTGCCTCACAGCGCCAGGAACCCAGGTTCGATTCCAGCCTCGGGAGTTTGCACATTCACCACGCGCCTGCGTGAGTTCCCTCCGAGTGCTCCAGTTTCCTCCCACAGTCCAAAGATGTGCAGGCTAGGTGGATTGGCCATGCTAAATTGCCCATAGTGTTGAGGGATGTGTAGATTAGGTGGGTTATGCAGGATGGGTCTGGATGGGATGCTCTGAGGATCAGCGTGGACTTGTTGGACCAAATGTCCTGTTTCCACACTGTAGGGATTCTATGATCTATGATTACACGAGAGCACAGTATTTTACATCAGCCCCAGAGCATCACTACAGACGTATCAAAATTTTAGTTACCAGTTATAGTTATCATAATATTGAACTTCATCTCAACAATATCTCAATAACATGCTAACTGTCGCTGTATCTATCAGACACTTACTAATTGCTCTATTTTCCTAACAAGTTCATCCTCTGTCTTGTGCCGAATGCCCTTTATAAGCTTATTTCCTTCTGGAATTTCTTATTCAACCATTGAAAGTAAACTCCAGCCTGTATATAGATAACAAGGTGTAGGGCTGGATGAACACAGCAGGCTAAGCAGCATCAGAGGAGCAGGAAGGCTGACGTTTCGGGCCTAGACCCTTCTTCAGAAATGGCCTGCTTGGCCTGCTGTGTTCATCCAGCTCTACACCTTGTTATCTCAGATTCTCCGGCATCTGCAGTTCCTACTATCTCTCTCCAGCCTCTATACTTCATTTATTTCTTTGCAAAGCTTTTTCCTCTCAGAGCATTTTTATAATTGTTCACTTCGTTTTGCATTTTGATGAAAATGATTGAGTACTTTTCTACTGTTCAGTATTCAGAATCTTCCTTAATACTGTTAAATAAAGTTATTATGAAAACAAAGTATCGTGGATGCTGGTATTAGAAATAAAGACAGAAATTGCTGAAAATACTCATCCAGTCAGGAACCATCGGTGGTATGAGGAACAGTCTCTGGAATGTGCACCCCACCAACTATGTGTAACTAAATGAATCATAGAATCCCTACAGTGTGGAAGCAGGCCATTTGGCCCATTGAGTCCACACCAGCCCTCTGAAGAGCATCCCACCCAGACCCTCATACCCCCACCCTATCCCTGTAACCCTACAGTTCCCAAGGCTAATCCACCTAGTTTGCACATTCCTGGATACTTTGGGCAATTTAGCATGGCCAGTCTACCTAACACATGGTAACCTGCACATCTTTAGACTATGGGTGGAAACTGAAGCACCCAGAGGAAGCCCACGTAGACCCAGGTAGAATGTGCAAACTCCACATGGACTGTTGCCCAGGTGTGGAATCGAACCTGGGTCACTGGCGCTGTGAGGCAGCAGTGCTAACCACTGAGCCACCGGGCCACCCTGAAGATCTATTGAATGTGACAACAAGCTGCTCCTGCCAAAGTAACACCACCCAAGTTTTCCTCTGCATTGCTTGCCTGACACGTCCTCCTGGGTGATGACCCTCTGAGCTGGCAGCTCCTGAGGGTGGGACTCCCCTCGAGTGAGGACGGCTGCAGGACAAGCTTCTAACGAACGACTCCGTATCCAATGACATTTCTTTCAGAGGTGACTGAGGGTGGAAAGCTGTTTCACTTCCCTGCCCCTTTAAATTTTTGCCCAGTCTTTCAGATCAATGGCCAACTTAATTCAGGTCAAAACTGGAGAAAGTAGAGATATATGAGCTTTGCAGTAAAATGGGAGGACAAGATCATAGAGTCATAGAGATGTACAGTACGGAAACAGATCCTTTAGTCCAACTCATTCATGCTGACCAGATATACTAGATAAATCTAGTCCCATTTGCCAGCATTTCGCCCATATCCCTCTAAACCGCTCCTATTCATAAACCCATCCAGATGCCTTTTAAATGTTGTAATTGTACCAGCCTTCACCACTTCCTCTGGCAGCTCATTCCATACTCGCACCACCCTCTGTATGAAAAAGTTGCTCCTCAGGTCCCTTTTAAATCTTTCCCCTCTCACCTTAAATCTGTGCCCTGTGGTTTTGGACTCCCCTACCCTGGGGAAGAGATCTTGTCTGTTTGACCTATCCATGCCCCTCATGATTTTACAAACCTCTCTAAGGTCACCTCTCAGCCTCCAACGTGCCAGGGAAAATAGCTCCAGCCTATTCAGCCTCTCCCTATAGTTCAAATCCTCCAACCCTGGCAACATCCTTGTAAATTTTTTCTGAAGCCTTACAAGGTTCACAACATCCTTCCTATAGCAGGGAGACCAGAATTGTACACAGTATTCCAAAAGTGGCCTAAACCAATGTCCTGTACAGCTGCAACATGACCTCCCAACTCCTATACTCAATGCACTGACCAATAAAGGCACGCGTACCAATACAAGCATACCAAATGCCTTCTTTACTATCCTATCTACCTGGGACTCCACTTTCAAGGAACTATGAACCTGCACACC